AAGTCTGGATGCGACGTGCGGGGCTGCCGCTACACCATCAGCAGCAGCAGCAACAACAGCAGCAACAGCAGCAGCAGCAGCTTCGCGTTGCTGCAGCTGCAGCAGATCTGGGCCACTTCACTGGTATCCACGCACATGAACAGCCACAGCAGCAACAGCAACAACAGCAGCAACTCATGTTCATGCTGCAGCAACAGACAGCAGATGCAATGCACCGACCGCCTCTTGGGGGACCCGCCGACGAGCAGCAGCAACAGCAGCATCAGCAACAACAGCAGCAGCAGCATCAGCAACAGGAGCAGCCGCATGAGCAGCAGCTTCAGCAGCAGCAGCAACCGCAAGGACTTGTGGTAGGCCGTGCGGCACAGATGACATCCACCCTTAAGAACCTCCTCGGCATTGGTGGCCCTCATGGGCAGCAGCGGGAGCAGCAGCAGCAACAGCAGCAGCAGCAGCAGCAGCAACCGCTCGAGGAGACGGAGGAGCAGCTGCAGCCGCAGCACTCCCTGAGCTGGACTGCTGATAGACTCGCGGAGACGCAGAGGCAGCTGCAGCAGCTGCAGCAGCTACAGCAGCAGCAGCAACAAGCGCACATGAAGCAACCGCCCCCCACGAAAGATGAGGATCAACAGCAGCAGCAGCAGCAGCAACAGCAGCAGCAGCAAACGCCTGCGGCTGCTGCACCCAAGACCTGGGCAGCCACGATGGAGGAGTCCTGCCGGCAAGAGAAGCAGAAGAAGCAGCAACAAGAGAAGCAGCAGCAGCAAGACAAACAGCAGCAGGAGAAGCAGCAACAGCATGAGAAGCAGCAGCAGCAGGAGAAGCAACAGCAGCAAGACAAGCATCAGCCGCAGCCGGAGAAGCAGCAACCGCAACACGATAAGCAGCAGCAGCAGAAGTCACAGGAAAAAGAAAAGCACCCGCAAGATAAGCGCCAGCAGCAGCAGCAGCAACAACAGGAGAAGCAGCAACAGCGCCAGACGAAGCAGCAGGAGCAGCAGCAGCAGCGCCAGGCGAAGCAACAAGAGCAGCAGCAACAGAAACAGGAAAAGCAGCAGCACGCTCGTGAGAAGCAACCAAGAGCGCCTCAAGAGAAGACCCCTTCTAGCAGCAGCAAGACGAAACCTCCTGCTGCTGCTACTGCGGGTTCTGCAGCAGAAGCAGCAAAAGGAGGGTGGGAGGTTGCAGGTCACAAGGGTCAGCGCAAGAAGGAGCAGCAGAAACAGCAACAACAGCAGCAGCAGCAGCACGAGAAGCAGCAGCAAGAGAGTAGGCAGACAGAACCTGAGGCGAAGGCCTCCAAGCAGCAGCAGCAGCCACAGCAGCAGCAGCAGCAGCAGCAGCAGCAGCAGGGAAAGCGTGGATCGGGAGAAGGCGCCTCGGGGGAGCAGCAGCGACGACCTGTCCTGGGGGGCCCTGCCCCCTGGGTATCTGTTGCTGCTGCTGCAGCAAGCCGCCCAAATGTAACTTTAAAAGAGGTAATGGAGCTGCAGAGTGCTGAACAGTCACGAGAGGAAGAAGAGAGAAGGAGAGAAGAAGAGGCCGCATTGAGGGCTGTAAGACTAGCAGCACTGCATTGCTACTGCTG